AGTAACTGCCGCTATTGAAGATCTATAAAGTGAGTGGCTCATTGGAGTATCGTAAGATATGATGATGCAAAAGTATACTTGGCAAAGTTGTAATGCCGGTGGCCTCTTCTTCTGTGACTCGCATCGGTGATTCGAACCGAACATCGGAGAGCATGACCCGGACGTCCTGTCATCAGGAAATGCCCTTCATCAAAAAGGTATAAACCTATAAAAGAATAGCCCTAACCGAACACATAAAACATACCTAACTTTCCATGGTGTGAAACCGCAAACGGCATCATTGCAGTCTCTGTCTCCCAAGTGCCAGGATTTGGTCATTTCTAACCACATCCGGCAAGTAAGCCCCATATGTATCAAAAAAGAAAGAAAGCCATAGCTTTTACCTTATAAAAGTGCACTCCCAGTAACGGTTCTCCCGGAATTGATCGCCACAGCCCTCTTGGTGACACTAGGTGAGTGATAGCGCCCAAGGTGAGAGACTAATTCAAGCCTGGATTCCCCAAGCTGCACCTCCCAGGAGGCCATGATTCGATGCCAGCCAAAGTAATTGCGCCACGGCCCCAATGTCTCAGCCGCGGCGCTTTTTGCCAGAGCAATCAAAGCTGCACCTCAACCGGTTGCAGTGAGGGATGCCTACGAAGTGGTGGATAGACGATCCATCTCTCAAAGACTTTTGAAATACTTGAAAAGAACCCCTCATTTAGGCCGGTATAATGCCAACCGGCCAGTCGAGCTGCTTCCGTCAGGTCTCAGGTCTCTCGTTCTCTTAGATACAGGTACTTACTGTATCTTTCTATTTAATACCCCCAGCATACACCATCGACAACATCATCATCCAATATTTCTTCAAGAAACCAGCCTACTTTGACGTTTCCTCCCATCCTGCGCCATCTACCGCTTGATAGTCGAAGATGGCCACCGGCCGTTTCATGGCCTTGCTGGTTTGCTTACTTGGGCTCAGCAGCGTCGTGACTGCGGCTGATCTGTCTAGCCTCCCAGGCTGTGCTGTGAGTAGATCCCAGAAGGACAGGCTTAACACGGTACCTACTCACACAAGCAGGTCACATGCCTCTTCCAAGAAATAGGCCAATCCGATTGCTCCATTACGAACCAGACATGCATGTGCCACGACGAGATCTTGGCCGGCCATGTACAAACGTGCGTCCAAGCGAGTTGTACAATCAAGGAGATGCTGGGTAAGGGCCCGAGCCAAGTTAACACCCATCCAAGCAAAGGATTGGCGCTCATTATTGTGTTCCATAGTGACTCAGAACCAAACAATGACCGCCTGCGGAGTCCCACCAGCTCCGGCGTACCAGATGATGCAGTGGTTTCGTGAGCTTCTCTTCGGCGTCCAAACCTTTTTCGTCATACTAAAGGTTGCCAATAAATTGATGAAGCTTTCGCCTTGGGGCTGGGACGACCTGACCATCCTGATAGCATATGTACTGCCCTCCCCGTCCTTTGCTTTTCGGTCACCCAAAACCATTTCTTATAACCATATTATAGGCTCTTCTCACAGCTTTCTTCCCTTTGACCTATCTGTGTATGTGATTGGCGATTGTATCTCTCTCCATTACGGGACTGACGAATATCACCCTTAGCCGAAACCTCTGGTGCTGGGAGAGACATCTGGACGCTTACCCCCGACGAGATTACCCAACGTCTTGTTGTAAGGCCAACACTCGAGATATTTCCGGGGTCTCATCATCACACTGACATTTGGCGCCAGACTTTGTTCATTTGTAGTTTGCTATACATGAACTGTTTGGCATTCATCAAGGCATCGATTCTGTTTCTATATCTGCGCATCTTTCCCGACGAGAAGTTTAGGAGGATCCTATGGGGTACACAACTCTTCAACCTTCTGGTCGGGATTTCTTTCACCGCCGGTACTCTTGCCGCGTGCAGGCCCCTCAGCTTCTTTTGGAATGGGTGGTGGACGGGACAGATGGGGGACAAATGCATCGACCTGAATGCATTCGCCATATCTAACGGCGCGTTCAACCTCGCGCTCGACGCATGGATGCTCGTGCTGCCGGCATCGCAAACCTACAACCTGAGAATGGAGTGGAAGAAAAAGGCGGGCGTGATGCTCATGTTTAGCGTTGGGATATCGTAAGTAGCGGCCGCCTTCTGGAGTCTTGCCCAATGCTAACCACCACAAGTCTCACGGCTGTCAGCGCTTACCGTATCAAGGTGCTCATGGAGTTTGCGACTTCTCTCAACATAACAGGTTGGCGTCCCACCGCGAGCTTGCCATAGGACGGCCAGCCATCAATGCTGACTGGACCTCGTTTACCTAGGCAATTCCTTCCTCACCTCCCTCTTCTCCCACATTGAGCTCTGCGTCGGCATCTTCGTGGCCTGTCTCCCGAGCGCACGTCAAGTCTGGAGCGCCTTTTCGCCAAAGATTACAGAAGCGACCCGCCTTTCCTCGAGGCTGTTCAACCCAAGCAAGGCCTCCCACGACGCAAGCAAGGGCTCGCAGGCAACGTCAGGCGCTCACAGGCCGCCGCCCGTGGCAGTATACAACGAGGCGTCGATAGCGCATTTGCTCGGGGACTTCAAGAGAATCGACCTCAACAACCTCCCCGACCCGAGCCCGACGGAGGCCGAATGCCCAAAGACGCCGAGCAAGTGGACCGACACCAGCACGGAATCTAGCCCGAGCAGCTCGAGACGTGGCCGGAGCCTGGGATGAAAGGGCATGGGGTGTGTTGTTGCGTTCCGGAAGCGGCCGAAGGGGTCGAAACTTCGCTGCTATGCGCTACCGCGTGCTGACCCAACCGGTAGAAGTTGAAGATGGCCGGCGGGGGCCGCATATGCCCGGAAAGCTCTCGATCGACCAAGACGAGATACGCTTGAGGGAGAGTGGAGGTAGGCCAAGCGGTGATAGGCGAAGTCTTCAATCTTCCGAGCCCTGAAGAACACCGTCCTTTCCAAGTAGGCGGATTGGCAGCTGGCAACAAACTGCAGGAGAGCTACCGGGCTATGCGGTTTGACCTGCGCTTAGGCGTGGGGCTAAGGCCGTCTGCGCCCCGACGTGACGAGAGGGGCAAAGGCTGCAAGAGACAATGCTGTTCGATACGGCATTGAAGAGTGCAAGGTTGACGCTAAGTCGACGGATTTCAGCAATACAAACATTGGATACCTTGCTCAGACTTGATCGCATCACAGTGGGCATACAGAACAACACCATGTGATAAGCACAATACCTGAAACGGCCTCTGGCTTGCTGCGTCGATTAAGAAACGCCCGCAGAAGCACTCCTTATAGACCATGTATGAGCGACTATATGATGAATCCAAGCCTGTTTGGTCATTTCAGGGGATATGGTTTTCGAGCACCTCAGCACGTCCCTTAAGTGCGACAAGCACTCTGTGGCGCCAAGGTTGTTCTGCTGCAGGCTGACTGCTGAATTAGATCACGAGTCACGACTTGAACCGGATTTATTAGCTGAAGATAACGTGGCCCTTCGCCACTCGGTCCCTATTTGTAGGGCAGATCATCTCAGCCGGGAGAGCGCCCGTCACTATATCCAAATCAAACGACCACACCTGGCCCGTTTGACCCGTCAAATGGCACAACAAGGAAGCACTTGTCGAGAAACACCAGGTAACGGCGCTCTTTTTGATGCTGAGCATGTCAAAAACCAGGCGCTGAACTGGAATCGAAGGGGAAAAAGGAGCCACCAAAGGAACCAGACCTGCGCTTCCGACAACATCAAGCCGAGACGAAAAAGAGAAGCCGGGCGACGGAGACTGGGAGGTCGTAATCAAACCGGAAAAGGAACCGGCGAGCGTGGGGAAGGGATTCTCCAGCAGCTTCGACCTGCAGATCGGCTGGGGAAGTTGGAGAACTTCGTTGCTTAGCTGGGATGTGAGTGTCAGGAGGGAGCATACCCACCTGCGTGGAAGCCCGGGGAGGGAGGAAAGGACGGGGAAGACCACAGGAGAGTAGAGCCAGGGATCGCATGGATGATGATAGCAGGCCGGCAGGGCTCAGTATGAATTGCCTCGGAGTGTTCGTCGCCCTTGTTCTGGGAGATGAGAGGGAGCTTGTCCTTTGCATCGGACGCTGCTCGAGAATAACGAGCCAGCACAGGATCGCCGCTCGTCATCACAATAGAACGCAAGAACTCAAACCTGTGTCCCAGCCGGGGATGTTGAGAGGGCAACAGGAGCCTACCCAAACCAAACCTTTGGCAATGTCCACAATGCGCACAATCTCCGGGAAACCAAAGCTCGGCAGAGCCGCCGTGCCCGTCGAGTCTGTCTGCTCCTTCACCGACCGCCAAAAGACCGAACCGGACCCTGGCAGATCTTCCACGGCCCTGGCCGCTGGTCTTCAATCGACAAAGCCTCCAAATCGCCGTGCCCATCTCCCCGCGGCCCGGGGGAGATGTCTCCGCGAAGCCTTCATCTGGTCGTGCTTAGTCGCTTACAACTCCAGGTCGTCCATATAATTCTCAGGCAGCCTGCGGAGGCGGGGGAAGGGCGGGTAAAAAAAAAATAAAAAAAAAAAAAGAGATGAAGGAAAGACGAGAAAGAAGACACCCTACTGTAAAGTCGCGTATCCTCATCACGCAAGCTCGCCATATCAAGATATAGCCAGCAGCGGTTCATAATAGCACCCATGGGCAAGGCAGCAAACGGCAAGGCGACTCGGGTCGCACGCAGGGTGATGAAGACAGCCTCAAGGGACAGGAAACTGACAGCACACACACCTCTTCTGACAGAGACTTTGCGCGGTGCGCGCGGGCCTATTGATTTAAGTTATGCTTTGCGCAAACCGTAGGAAAAAGAGACGGAAAAAGGCCAAACGGGGAACCCCCTCCCTTTTCCTATGGTACGGTGGAAAACGGAGAAGAAGAAAAAAAAGTGTCAAAAAGTGACCGACAACTTGACAAGATGAATCGTCCGAACGCGCCATGACGTGAGGCAAAAAGAGACTTTCCCCTTCCATATACTGAAGGGAGGGGGAAAAAGAAGGACACTCGATCCGGACAGGACTCGAACCCGCAATCTTCTGATGAATTTCCGAAAATTCCAATTTTTTGTATGTGAAAATCAATCGAAGTCAGACGCCCTGCCAATTGGGCCACCAGACCGAAATGGATGAATGGTTTCGATGGAGGAGAGAGACACCCATCGTGGGGATATAGTGTGCCCAGCTTGTCAGCTAGTGTGAGAGAGGGGGGGAGGGGTTTAACTCTTGGCGTCGGAATTGTGAGGGGTTGTCGCTCAGGGGTAATTATATGTAGGTAGGTATTCTCCTAGCTCGCCCCGCCTCGACACAACATCATTTATAAAACGTTTTATCCGAGTTTGGAACGAAAAAAAAGTGTTGCATTATTGACACCTCCCGCCCGTCTCGAAGTTGCCCTTTCGCATCGCGGATGCCCTGCGTCATCGCATAATGCCTATGTACAGCTGAAAGAAAGAAGAAGAAGAAGAAGAAGAAGAAGAAGAAGAAGAAGAAGAAGAAGATGAAGAGAGAATCGATCAAGACAAGAAACCTCCCACCCAGAGTCTAGCCCAGTAACCCTGTTTTTTCCAAAATAGACGAATGACACAAATACAGTTTTCCTCTAAATAAACCACACCGCAAACACCGGCAGGAACCCCCTCCCCCGCCTGGGCTTAGGACTTGTACCAGTTCTCGGGGGCGTCGCCGAGGCACTCCCCGACGGTGACGGCGCGGTAGCCCCTGGCCTTGAGGGTGTCGATCATCTTCTGCACGAGGGAGACGACCGTCTGCTGGTGGACGTCGTGCGACAGGACGATGTAGCTGTTGGATGAGGCGTCCTCGCTGAGCTCGTTCATGAACTTCTCGGCCGAGATGTGCGTCGTGTCGGGCGTGTCGTTCTCGTAGTCCTTGGTGTCGAGGTTGGTGTCGATCATGTGGTAGTTGAGGTTGGTGAGGTCGGCGACGCAGGCGTCGTCGCAAGACAGGTACGGCGTGCGCATGTACCGCGGCGCGAAGCCGGCGATGCGTCGCGTCGCGTCCTCGAGCTGCGTCATCTGCGCGATGCGGTCCGCCGACGAGAGCGTGCTGAGGTCCGCGTGCGAGTACGTGTGGGAGCCGATGAGGTGGCCCTCGTCCTTCATGCGCCTGACGACGTCCGGGTAGGGCGCGTCGTCGATGTTGCCAAAGTTCATGCCGTTGAGGAAGAAGGACGCCTTGATGTCGTTGGCCTTGAGCGTGTCGAGCAGCTGCGACGTGTACATGAAGGGGCCGTCGTCGAATGTGAGGGCGACGAGACCCGGCTGCGTGCACTGCGCGATGGACTGGCCCACGGGAGGGCCTTGACGGCGGGTGACCGGGCTGATGAGCTTGGTTAGTTTCATGTCCGTGTCCGAGGGCCAAGAAGGCGAAGGAAGAGAGGCAGTGGAGGGGAATGGACATACCCTGCGTTGGCACCTCCGGCGAGAGCAAGGGCGACAGCAGCGCCAAGAAGAGCAGAGGTATGCATGGTTGCTGTGATGGGAGCGGAAGTCTTGGTTGCAAGTGAGACCGAAAGTAACAGTGACAGCGAGCGAGAAATAGTCGGTGAGAGACTGGGACTCTGATGTGAAGGGAGTTGATATCAAGCTGGCTTGGCCGACGGGGAAGCAGGATGCAGTGATGGAGCGTAGTAGAGAGGTTGGGCAAAACGGGGGGAGAAGAAGAAGACTTATATGATGGAGAGTTGGGACGTTACGGAGAAAGAGTGCATGGTCGGCGAGGGAACATGGAACGCAGTGGACGGTCTGAGTTGATGATGGGTCCTTGCCGAGAGCTCACCACCCTTGGGCCGACCCATCCAAGAACAGAGCCTAACCATTGTCCCGCTCAGAGGACGAACCCGCAGGGTGCGAAGGGTGGCTTTCCTGCCTCATCGTAGACGAGTTTGAGAAACCGGACGAGGACGACGAAGACGGTGGCCCGCCCTCCCCTCCCTTACCCTCCCTCCCCTCCCCACCCCTCCATCCCGCATGGAGGCACTTGCTTCGAGGCACTCGACGGATGTTGGCCGTTCAGCCCTGGGGCGCCATGATGTCTTGGCAGCCGTCAAATATGATCGTATAACGGATGAGGCTCCGATACGAGCTACTGTAGACCCTGTATGTACGTGGTACGGCGAAGGGCATGGCGGGCTGAGGAGGTTGACAGAAAGATAGCCGCGGGGGAGGCGTGTTTTGACGTCAAGAGGCTTGGAGGCTGTCAAGATGACTGGACGGATTACTCTCGCAGGAGGACTTCCTTGCAAGCAGGCTCAGCTAACAGAATCGGGAATAAGAACCCGGCATGGTACTTTTGGATGTGTAAGACGAGGAAACCGCTCCAGCCCATTCGGAGTGTGGAAGGCATAAGCAAGTCTGCCACTCGGTCGGCACATACAACGTAGTTGATGCCAATAAGGTGACAACCATGCTGACTAGCTGGCTGCTCGCAGCTCACGGAGGATGGCTGGGGCACAGGATGCCGGGGAAAACGGTGAGCTGCAAGTGGTGTGTTCCCGCGTAGGAAATGTCGACATGCCGCATGGGACTCAGCCAAACCCGACAAGGGGGGGGGGTTCGAGTCAGCCCATAAGCGCCGCTCCTCGCTGTATCGAGATGCCTCGGCCTGAGACCGACCAAGTATCCGTATGCGCCCACGAGTCTACCGCAGCCTCTGGCGCCCCGTTGGGGGAACGAAGGCCCGTTGTTGGTCCAGTGTTTCCCTTAGCTTGGGTGCCTGGCCGTTTTCCCTTCAAACCTTGTTTCCTTATTTTCTCCCACTGCCCCTGCCTATAGAGCACGAATGAATGAATGAATATAAAAGAAAGGTGCCGAAAAAAAAGAAAGAAAAAACGGGTAAAACGGCTGTAATCTGGGCACTTCCATGACGAACAACCGGTGTGTTTCCGAGCATGGAACGAGGGGGTTGCCCTCGAAGGGGGCCCGCCCTCTGTCGCAAAACGGGAACCAAAAGCACTTTTCGCCGCAGCAACGAGATTCATTCGCCTTCTTCGCTCGTGCACAGGCAGATCGAGAGAGCCGCACGACGGTTCCTCTGAGGATAGGGGACTGTGAGGCAGCAGCACAGATGCTGCGGCCATTGTGGCGCGGCAGTCCTGGCGCTGAGGTCATCCGGCAATTGTCACGCAAGGTATATTCCATCGAGGCTCTTCCGTGCTTAGATCCCTCCCCCACCCTGCGACTACCGCCTTGGGAGAGGGGGGGGGGGGGGGGGGGGGGGGGGGGGGGGGGGTAGTAAAGGGTTGGCGGGATGTGGATGCGGATGCGGATGCATGTCAACCTCCACACCCTGGACCGTCCCGCCGACTAGTGCTGGCCCTCTTTACTATAGTAATTGCTCCGTAGTGCATTCATTCTTACCGCAAGTCATGTCAGTGTTATCGGTGGTGCGAGTCTTGTCGAACTGGCGTAGGCAACACGGAGCGCTTGAGAAACAGGGCGAGTAGTATACGCGCGGGGAGACAAAGAACCCAGAACAGAACCGGAGAGGCTTAAGAGGTAGGGTGGGTGTGGTAAGACCGGAGAGGAGCTGAAGCAGAGAATCAACCCGCAACGGCCAAAGGCCCCGAGGTTCGAATCCTCCTTCTGTCCTTCGGCCAGGATTCACTAATGCACTGGGGACGTGTGCCAAGAACCCAACCACCCCCCTGGCTGCGAGTCTGAGACTGGCTTCTCCTCCTGGCACTCGGTGGGTGATCGTCCAAAAGCCGGGGGGGGGGGGGCTTGGGGTGACTCGGCCGGGCGAGGATCCTATGAATACGAGGACTGTCGTGGAACTCCTGATGCAGCATGTTGTCGTGAATTGTGTCCTGTTGCCCATTGCCGTGCCGACACCCTGCCACAGCCATTGATTTCCCTGGATTCATCGGAACCCGCCCTCGATAAGATGACGAATACAATGGCGCGTCTGCCAGGTGAGGATTGAGCGACGAGCTCTTGCGCCTGCGTATTGGAAGAGAAGAAAAAAACGTCGGCATTGGGTTGACGACAGAAAAGCTTGGCATGCCGTGTCATGTGAGGTGCTCACGCACGGCGGCGAAGGGGCAAAGAGTTAGAGACTTGGAGAGAGGAGAGTCGTGTCAAACTGAGAATGCCAGGCCCTTCCTTGTTGGCAAAGGCGACGGACGGGACGACACCCAGAGAGGACATATGTTTTTTTCTTCTCGAACCCCCCCTCCCATGTCATGATGGAACTCATCGGTGCATGGTGAGTTGGCAACGCAACCGCGGACTTTGCGGCCTTACGGACGTGCATCCAAGAGGAAATATACGCACGCACGCAGCGGCAAGCTGCTGACAGAGACAGTGGGATGGATCCTTGTTCGTCCTCTCGCACCAGCTGTTATCGATCTGTTATCGATGCCGTCGGGTATCTGTGTCTTGGTTGCTCTCCTATCGCATCGCCTGCTCGCCTCGTCTTGCCCGCCGCCGACGACTAAACCAGATCTGGGGCAAGGTCGGAATCTTCCATCGCCACAAAGACATGGAAGCTTCCCGTTGTGTGCTGATGGGCGCCAGGTGATCGGGCCGGAGCCTGAAACATATCTAGTGCCAGCGCCACAGTCACGGCAGAACAAAGGACGAACTCGCCCACATTTGTCGACCAGTGAGCAAATAAACGCGCCGATTCAGATCGGGAGAGGCTGCAGCTAATCTGGGTGGAAACGAAGTACCCGCAAGATAGAGACCATGATGCTGGGACTTGATGATACTGCGGTCAGTATTACCAGGTGGGACATCACTTGCCCAAGAACTGTACGCAGTAGACCGTTGGGCGAGTCGTGGGTTCCAAGTTTGGAACACTCGGCTCTTTTTGACTTTGCCGTCTTTTAACGGCCAAGGATCTTGGCGGTTGAAACTAGAAACTCGACTCAGGGACCATCCCGACAAGTCGGGAGCTCCACGTTGTACCTTGTGCATCATGGTGTTGTAACCACCACCACAAGTCGCATCAAATGTGTGTGACTGTGTCTGTAGGTTTTCTGTCGTCCCGTCGTGGTAGGGAACCCGACGCGGCATCTCATCTACTCGTCCCCCCCCCCCCTTTTTCACTTTCTGTCAATCAAACCCTCAACGAGCAGAAGAACGAGCCAGTGTCGCAGAG